TGTGTTAAAAGTTAGAGTACAACTTATCAAAATCCGTATCATGTCACATTGATTCGCTCAATCAGCATTTCAACCGTGGAAAGATGTCAGTTAAACAGCTTATCAATGTCATTTATCGTCATATTTACCTCAGAAAACCCACATAAACTCGTTAGTCATCTTGAAAAAATAACTTTAGAGAGTTATTTATATATATATATTTTGCTAAATATATACACCATATTACATATGCATTATAATCTTAATGTTCTTCAATATTTAATGCATATTTGAATAAATCTGGCAAGCTTTTTATGACAGCCACCATATACATGTTTATATTTTATATAATCTTCTTATTATAAATTTTTTTAAAAAAGTGTAATTTAAGTGTTTGTATAGCTACAAAACAGTAACAGTTCATTATTACCTTCATATTAGGCTAATGAAGCCTAGTAGGCTACAACTAGACTCCCATAGTTTACAGCATTAGTTAAGAGATTTGATTTTCTTGAGAAAATTTGCCATTTATTATAACTGATATCCAAAATAATCAATATTGAATCGAAATCAAATCGAATTGCAAGCTTGTGAATCGAAATCGAATTGTGAAATTTGTGTCAATACCCAGCCCTATCGATGATGCTCTGGAGCCCCTGAACTCGTGGACACACCCCTAATTGATGACGCACTAAAGCCACTGAGGCTGATCTCTCCCCTAACAATAGAGCACATTCGCATCTGTCGCTCAATCGCGAGTTACTGTCAGCACTATTAGTTACTACAGTCTAGAGTTTGCTAGCTAGCTATGCCTTCGACACGGAAATGCATAGGCTACTACCTTGATGCGATCATGTGCAAAACAGATCAGTGTCTTTATTTAAATTTCCTAAAAATGATCACATCAAGAAGAGGTGGATTAATTTTGTGCAGAGCCAACCTTGATGAAGAGCTGAGGATCACTGCCAACACCCGCTTCTGTAGTGCTCATTTTACACGGGATCGTTTTATAAACTTTCCTCAGAGACAACTGGGATTCACTGATAATCCGCTGTTACTGGTGAAAGGGGCCGAAACGACTATCTCCCGCCTCGGCCTTCGTCCTCCCGTCCCGAAAGCAGTATCACATAACACCTTCGACAACTTTCCCGCTAGTGGGCGTGGTTTCAGCGCAGCCAGCGGACACGCCCCCAGCATTTGAGATAACTGCTCATTTTTTCAAGATTTTGATAGCTTATTTTATGTACTTGCTGGCTTTTTTTATCATTCATATTTGGCTGGGTGGCTAATAACACATTTTTCTGTGGTGTGACAAACTCAGAACACATACTTAATTTGGACTTTACAAGGACTTTAAAGTCACTATGAAATTGAAACTGACATTTGTTGTCTTCTTTGTTTTTTGTTTTTTTTATGGAATACTCCAGTATTTATAATTAATGATTTATCCATAGACATCATTTTATTTATTCATGTGCCCTCGTAATCTTTAATCAAAATAACTTCCCCTCCTACTTGCAACGACAACTCTTTTAATCTCTGATGACATGTTTACTGGCGTGGTGTGAGGGCGGGACAACCTGTCACTCAAATCAGCAGTAGCAAATCACAATCATCCAACAATCCCCAATTCCCCATGAAGCAAATAAAGTACCCCTACATTTTTTCCTCTTTAAAAAGCGGACAGTTTCACTCAGACAATATGTCACAAAAGGGAAGAAAAGACTATCACAGTTTCATAGCCAATAACAATGAAGAACTGGTGAGGAGGAAGTGGCATAGGTCTGGTGAAGCCCGTGCGGAGCAGACAGGCTGCATGACGGACATGGTGTGTAATGCATACGGCATCATCTGCCTGCTCTTCTGGCCTGACACTAATGGGTGTTGACGCCAGACCATTTAAAGGTCTCTTCCATTGCAGTGCCTTTACAGGCAGCTTATCATAACCTGACCTATAAATTACATTCAGCAGGGAAGCCACAAACCTGGCTCATATTAAACCAAGTAAATATGACACTCCAGAGTTCCCTCAGATTCTGAAAGAGGATAATCTGAGAAGTCAGCCATTAAAAAAACAGTTACTGTCAACATTTGGGTGATTTAAATTCATGTGGTGACAAACATTTACGACTGCTTAAATGTACTGCCGCTTTGATACTGGCACTCAAGCACAAGACATTAACGCAAACACCTGACACATGAAACCTAATGAATAAACACACTCATCCCCTTCACAGGTGACTTCCAGTCGACACATTCATGTGTGCAGGATAACTGCCGCCTGATCTTTGGAGGTGATTTATTCATTTCCCTATGTGCTTTGCAGTTTGAGCTGAGGCAATTAGATATGTGTCGAGATTGCAGGTAGTTGTCGGCTCATGCAGATGGTCCACAGCTCCATTTCATAATAACAGCCATCTCAAAGACTAGAGACGATAGAAGAATAAAGAACTTGAAAAAGAGACTATACTCGGCACAAACCCTACCTCTTCAATCATAACTGTAAAATAAATTAATCTTAACCCTTTCCCTGCCATTGATGAGAAAATGCTTCCCTGCAACTCCAAACTGAATGTCAGAATGGGAAAGAAAGGTGATTTAAGCAATTTTGAGCCTGGCATGGTTGTTGGTGCCAGATGGGCCAATTTCACAATCTGCTCAGTTACTGGGATTTTCACGCACAACCATTTCTAGGGTTTACAAAGAATGGTGTGAAAAAGGGAAAAACATCCAGTATGCGGCAGTCCTGTGGGCGAAAATGCCTTGTTGATGCTAGAGGTCAGAGGAGAATGGGCCGACTGATTCAAGCTGATAGAAGAGCAACTTTGACTGAAATAACCACTCGTTACAACCGAGGTATTCAGCAAAGCATTACCTTGAGGTGGATGGGCTACAACAGCAGAAGACCCCACTGGGTACCACTCATTACTACAAATAGGAAAAAGTGGCTACAATTTGCAAGAGCTCACCATAATTGAGATATATCCAGCTGCAGACCCGCAGCACCACCAGTTTCAGAACCCCAGCGCCAGAACCGGAAGTGAGGGAGGGGCGGAATTATTATTATTGCATTATAATTATTTTAGCAAGCATGTAAGGACAAAACGGGCCTTGAGTTCCTCATTTGATACATTGTAAGTTAAATTTAAACAAAATTGTTGTGATAAAACAGGCCTAGCTTGGGTTGAATTGGTCATTTTGTATAGATCTTTAACAAAATAATGCCAAATTTTCTCTTTCTTTTTTTTTTAGATTTTGACATTATTTTACACGAAAAATGCATGCTGCACATGTTCTTGTGAAATAAAGTATATTTTATTAAAAATACCCATGCTTTTTTTTTTATTAAACAATCAAAATCATCTTAAATACATCTTCAATATCAAATCAATTTAAGATTTTTGTAAACACAATAAATAAATAAATAAATAAATAAATAAATAAATAAATAAATAGAACATAAAATATCACAGAGGTCTAATGAGTTATCAGATTGTGTATAATTTCGAAAACCTCCAATGATTGTCTTGTTTTATATCTTTCAAAGCTTTATTATACAAAGTTAACTCCTTCATAAAAACCAAAAAACAGGTCTTATCTTCCTAAACCTACACGTATGTATAAACTGATTAGCTAAAATTATTAAACTGTTATACATTAAAATGCCGATAAGTTTCAAGTATTATTTTTTCACCATCATGATCAGGAAGTAACTCATAATACAATGAAACGAATAACTGAAACTGTATACAATTATTTTACACAAAATCAATGTTTTAATTGCTTATTGTACAGTAATGTATAGCATCATAACATGCGTAGAGAGTAGGACCGTTCTTGTTCAATAAAAGCTGTTTCATGTGTAAAATACCCTCCAAATTACGTTAGGTGGCGTTATCTAAGCTCCGCCCCTCAATTACGTTCCTGGCGCTGGTGTTGGTTAGAACCTAACTCCGCCCCTCACTTCCAGTGCTGGCGCTGGGGTTCTGAAACTGGGGTTCTGAAACTGGGGTTCTGAAACTGGTGTGCTGCGGGTCTGCAGCTGGATACTATAGCCATAATTGGACAGTTGAAGACTGGAAAAAATGTTGCCTGGTCTGATGAGTCTCGATTTCTGTTGAGTCATTCAGATGATGGAGTCAGAATTTGGTGTAAACAGAATGAGAACATGGATCCATCATGCCTTGTTACCACTGTGCAGGATGGTGGTGGTGGTGGTGTAATGGTGTGGGGGTGGTTTTCCTGGCACACTTTAGGCCCCTCAGTGCCAGTTAGGCATTGTTTAAATGCCACGGCCTACCTGAGCATTGTTTCTGACCATGTCCATCCCTTTATGGCCACCATGTACCCATCCTCTGATGGCTACTTCCAGCAGGATAATGCACCATGTCACAAAGCTTAAAACATTTCAAATTTGTTTCTTGAACATGACAATGAGTTCACTGTCCTAAAATGGCGCCAACAGTCACCAGATCTCAACCCAATAGAGCATCTTTGTGATGTGGTGGAACGGTCGGGAGCTTTGTGGCCTGGATGTGCATCCCACAAATCTCCATCAACTGCAAGATGCTATGCAATAATGTACATGTAATGCCATGTAGAATTAGAAGGGTGAAAGGGGGTCAAGCACAGTATGGTGTTCCTAATAATCCTTTAGGTGAGTGTATATTTATCATCATTAAACCCCAACCGACTGTTTAGTTTAGGGATAGTCCACTCAAAAATGAAAACACAAAAAGAAAATAGTTTGAAGAATGTTGGTAACCAAATAGTACTTACAATGGAAGTCAACGGGCCTAAAGTATGGCTAAACGTTTAGGCAACCGACATTCTTCTTTTTTTGTTCCGCATTAAAAAAAAATACATGCACGCAGGTTTTAAACGGCATGAGAGAATGAGTATATTTTCCTTTTTTGGTGGACTATCCCTTTAGTACTTCACTAAGATGTGATCTGAAATATCAGGAGAGACCTATCTGTTTGCATCCCATCAGAACAACTTCAGTGGAAAAGACGGCTTACCGGGCATAGCATGGACCAGGTCTCCACACAGGATCATAAAGCGAGGTCTGGGCTGTAGTTTATTGATGGCCTGTACTGCCTGCTTTGTGAGCTGGACCTCCTCAGACCACTCATCACCTCCTGAATCACAGTCACCAATCCTCCATGCCTTCATCAGACCCAGCTGAGGGTCTGCAGCCTGGATAAAATAAAAAGGCCCCCTCCAGTCCTTCTGTTCATCTGGGTAGGACAAGAGAAAATAACATGAAGCTGACAAACTATCTAGTGTAAAAATCTAAATTATTAATGGTCTGTTTGTGTATAATGCATACACTGCTTTACATAATTAAACATTACATAAGATGCTTACTATCAAACTGTTTTAAAGTATTTATAAAAATCCTTTTCTCAAGTGAAAGAGTCAGCTAAGGGCACATCCCTAACACCTGCAATGTGTCTTAAAGAAACTTCAGCGGTATAACACCTTCACGGCACCTTGTGTTATAAGGAAACAAAAACATCAACTTTCACAGCTCTTACCCATGATTCTTTGCGAGACTTCCAGCATTAAAACTTGGTCAAAATATAAATGAAGAGTATACCCCAGCTGGGAACATCATACAATCCTTGTCTTAGCTTTTCACTCTACTCACTTATGTCGAGTATTTGTGAAGAGATTGACAGAGCAGCACGTCTCAAGAGCTAAAAGAAAAAGACAGAATTTCAATCTGTTCCTGATCCTGGCAGTGTAGCCAAGAAGGGAAAAGAGTTTTATGATTCTGATTTATCTTTAGCTACATATCGTCATATCTTGTAGTGCAACAGTGTAGATGAAACAATTAAACAATGAACAATGAAAGATTTAAGTGTGTTTGATTAATCAAAAAAGAGCCGGCTCATTGGAGTAATTCATTGGAGAGTCAAATGACACTGGCTGTGCTCTATGTTTTTGATTCACTAAACAGAATCACCTCAAATAACTGAGGCATTCATTGGAGTCGAACTACACTGGTTGCGCAGTATATTTTTGAATCACTAAAAATAACTGGCTCCTTAGAGTCATGTCATTCCCTGGGGAGTGAATCGGACTACACTAGTTGCTCTTTGTTGTTGATTCCCTAAAAAGAACCTGCTTATAAGCATCATCTATTCAGTGGCTAGGCTACACTAGTTCCGGTGTTTTTGATTCACTACCAGTTCATAAGAGTCATTTATTTGGGAGTTGGACAAGATTGTGTAGTATGTGTTTTAAATTCACTGAAAAGAACTGGATCATAACAGTCATTCATTGGAGAGTCAAATGACACTGGCTGTGCTCTATGTTTTTGATTCACTAAACAGAATCACCTCATATAACTGAGTCATTCATTGGAGTCGAACTACGCTGGTTGCGCAGTATATTTTTGAATCACTAAAAATAACTGGCTCATTAGAATCATTCCTTGGGGAGTGAATCAGACTACACTAGTTGCTCTTTGTTGTTGATTCCCTAAAAAGAACCTGCTCATAAGCATAATCTATTCAGTGGCTAGGCTACACTAGTTGCGGTGCACGTTTTTGATTCACTACAAGAACCAGTTCATAAGAGTCATTTATTTGGGAGTTGGACAAGATTGTGTAGTATGTGTTTTAAATTCACTGAAAAAAACTGGCTCATAACCGTCATTCATTGGAGAGTCAAATGACACTGGCTGTGCTCTATGTTTTTGATTCACTAAACAGAATCACTTTATATAACTGAGTCATTCATTGGAGAGTCGGACTACACTGGTTGCGCAGTATATTTTTGAATCACTAAAAACAACTGGCTCATTAGAGTCATTCCCTGGGGAGTGAATCGGACTACACTAGTTGCGGAGGATGTTTTTGATTCACTACAAGAACCAGTTCGTAAGAGTCATTCATTTGGGAGTTGGACAAGATTGTGTAGTGTGTTATTAGTAATGCTGCATGAAGTTTCACCGCAAATCTCTATGGGCAGGCCAAGTTGTTTCAATCCATTCGTTTTGTCTTTCGTTTGCTATGCTCCGAGCATCACTTTGGGAAAGCACAAAACTTGGTTAAAAGAAATAAATATAATAAAAACACATGATATCTGACCATTTAAAATCTACCATCTGCTGCCTGGAATCTTGTTTGTTGTCTAATGCTTTCATGTACAGTCCCCAAAGACTGGAAACTATTTTCAGGCAACTTTTAACAACATGAATTGAGAGGAGCAGACAAAGCTGCCATGACAGCCGATAAGCACAAGCCTCTTTCAGCAAACATAAATCAGAGGGATATCTCAGATGACTCCCAGAGCCTTCAAATACTGCTAACCTAATCATAAGTCAAGATAAAAGCCTCCTGTGATAAAGCATTAAAATGAACTCAACTCACAGCATCCACTAACAGCCACTGCTGTAGGTTTTTCACATTAAAAAAAAAGAAAAGAAAAAAAGTTGCAGATGTCAACACTGCCAGAGCAAAGTAAAGAATAAGCAAGAAATTAGTCTGAAGATTTCAGACTGGATTTACATAAACAGAGAGCAGAGAAACCACACAGGGACAGAAAACACTTGAAACTCTTACTGAAATACACCAAAACCAAAGATTGAAAGTCTGCATAAAATCTATTTTCTAAATGCATTTTAATGATATTATTGTGAACAATTTACCTATGCATCTAATCCCATTGTTTTATTTGGCCTCTTCATTTTAATCAAAATGTCACACGCCACATTTTTTTTCTTGTACTGCACTGTGTCACAAAATGGAATATATCTATTTCATCGCAAAGTTAAAGGGAAAGTTCACTTTGAAATTAATTTTTAGTATGTTTTAGCTTACCTCACTGTTTCCACAGTGGTTTCAATTTTGATATTTTTAGGTCAAACCGTTCTTATCTGTTTGACCTAGACCACTTGGAGGTAAAAATGATATAAATATTGTTCATTTTCTCACACAAACCTCTTGTTTCGTGCCTTAGGCTATCAATGTGTACATTTACGAGTCATTAAGTCATGGTTAATTTGGACTTGGGAATTCACCACTGGCAAGAATGGTGAAAAAGATTTAAAGAAGCTATATGACTAGAGAAAACTAGAGAGAAATGGCTGTGGCAATCCCTATTGGTCTCGGCACTACCAACATTAGTGGTAGCAATAGATTGCTTCAGGAATTATGTATTTTGGAAGTCCAAAACCCAGAAATAACCTCCGGTTCTTATCGTCAAAGTCAATGGGTTTTTGATTAAACACCTGAAATAAAGTCTGTGGTTAACACAAGGTCAAGATATTTTAATTTTTTAATCATGAACTATGCTAACTCAAACATTCAGGGAATTTTATTTTATTTTTTTAAATAAAGACAAAGCATCGTTGGTGCTTACAGGTGGTGACATTGACGTTTATGGCGTTTAGTCCTATCCTCTGCTGATAGTATTTAAGCTTTAAAAAAGCATAAAAGTTGTCAAAGATTATGATGAAGAACAAAACAAGAACGAGTCATAAACTTTTGTTGGTCACAGAGCTTTTCTGTAATAACCTAAAAGCCAACTGAAAAAATTACAGAGGGAACCAGGGTGACGCTAACGTCTGGGTTAGGCTAGCCTACAAAAATGTTGTCACTGCAGCCCTTTATACAAGAAAAACTTCAGATTTATTATTACAGTCATGTCTATTATTCTGATATGGAAAAACGTTGCTAAATGTACTTAAATATTTTATTTCACTGCAAAATAAACAGGCTTTTCTAAGAGGGAAAATACCATACCTGTATATTTGTAGTTATTGTCAAAGATGGTTTGTCCTTGCAAACTCTATGGGTACTGTGGTGCATATTCGAAATCGTGTAGCACTTCTGCTATTTAAACATATTTTCCATTTTCAGGTGAATAATTGAATATTGTTGGTTTTGGTTTACTACAAACGTTTGATATGTTTAAATCTGCTTCCTCCTAATGCAAAAGCAAAAAAGAAAAAGTTGATAATCACTGATTTAGCGCATTTTAACCCACTTAGCTATATTAGGTCGACGCTGGTTAATACATGTCATGTGACATGTTACAGTTTCTAACTAAATTGACCTGCAACTATCTCTACTGCACATTCTGAAGGTGGTTTGATATTTGTGACAGAATACTTACTGAAAGCAAGGTCTGCTATCAAAGTGGTAACGTTAGTGTGCTTGTCAAAGACTTTACAAGGAACTAACTTGGATTGCAGTGCTTATAAAATATATAAAAGACTAGAATCCTTTAAGGAATTATAAACTTGGATTGCAGTTCTTATAAAATATATCAAAGACTAGAAACCAAAACATACTGTCTTAATAAAAGTTTCACTGCATCATCTATAATGTAAATCGACGTTAGCTATCCTCAGCTAACCATAACGTTACCTTCTGTCAGTCCCTTATAACTCCGATCCTTCGCCCTCAGAAAGACACTTTCGTCCTCTGCCATTGAAAGTATATGACAATAAAATGTTCAATCTGGATTTCCTACGATGACGTTTCGGTTTTCTGTTTGGTAATAAAATGAGGGCGTTCGTTGCTAAACCAGATAAAAGCATTGGTTACTTAATAACAGTGAGCTGCGTTCTTGAATCGATGCGTTTGGGGATGTATTAGCAATGCCTGAGAATGTTCGGACTCCTCTTTACAGTCTATGAGAAAAACACAATCTTACTCGAAAACCGGCTCTCTAATGCTCATTTTGGATATATTTTCAGACAAAGACAAGGAAAACGACACTTAGCCTATATATGGACACTTATATATTAAATACAACCACTCCTTGTCAAAGATCTGTAATGTTACATTTATGTCACATTGGGCATTTATGATATATTTTTTTATGTTTCATGTCACATTGGGCTTTTATTTCTCATTTGGAAAATAAATAAATTTTGTTTTTTATAACTTTTCTGGGAAGATAAATAAAATACAATTTAAAAAAACTTTTTCAGAAGTAATAGTTTTTGCATTTTATTTGCTTTGCCACATATTTCAAAACCACATAACTGTGACCATAACTGTGACCTTTTCAGGTATATAGTTTAATCAGAAATATTTTTTTTAGATTGTTTTTTTTTTTTTTACAACTCGAAAATGTGCAAACTGAATAAAAATAAATATGGTGTTTTATACCATATGTTGCATACCTGCTTTAGTTACAGGTATGCAAAATATTTGCAAAATAAATTTCATTAAAGGGTAAACCCTAAACCAACTTTTTTTTGTATCTGTAAGACTGGAGCTTTATTATTGCTGTTCATCGAATTTGGACATTTGGGTAACATTTTTTAATTCTACAATATATGGTGTAAAAACGTCTGAGTGCTGCCCTCTTCAGGTTGGCTACTGCAGTTGAATTTTCCTATTGTTAGTTGTGGTGCCCTGTGATGTAAGTAGGCACCAGCTAACCACGCCCTTGCCTACAGAGAGACCTGTCTCAGGTGCGACTGTCAGTCGCAGTGCCGGTGTGATTTAGAATCACAGATATTACTTTTTGAAAGTATGAATAACATAAGAATTTTCACTGGAAAATATCGTCTGAGCAATAACATGCATTTTTCTTCTGGCCAACAAAGGGGTAAAAAGAATTGCAGTAAATCGCACTGATTAAATATGCAATCGCTCATGATATGACGTCAAACCATGCAAATTATACGTTGTTTCTCAAATTGTTAAAGTTAACAACATCAGCATTGTGTGTCTACATTTAATGTGTAGGCTACCTGGGCTACCTGGTTGCAGTTCAGTTTAGTACTTCGTAACTGTATGAATTAAGCAAATTGTGGTGCAGTTACATAATGACTATTGAAATGCGTCCGCTTTGAACCCCTTCAAACACGGAGAACCTCTTCAGTTACTTTCGTAACCTCAGTTCCCTGAGAGGCAATTCCCTGAGAGGCAAGGAACGAGACATTATGAATGTTGTATATGGGAACTCGTTTCCTACTCCACTTCTGCTGAAACCTTATAGGCTAACGCCAGCCAAGCTGGCCAATTGACGCAAATAAGCAAACACAGAACACGTTGCAGTATAAAAGCAGATGCAGCGTCAATATTCATCAGAATCGAACAAACTCTTAAATAAGTAGCAAACGCGGCGGCGAGCGTAATGTCTCGTTTCTTGCCTCTCAGGGTACCAAGGTTACGAAAGGTTTTCTCGTTCCCTATCAAGGCTACGGAACTTCGACATTATGAATGGCATATATAGGAACTGTATAAAATCCCACAGTGAAGCCTAACACTCCACTGACAACATACCCAATACCAACACTGCCTCCCCAGAAAGCAAGCAAGCAAGATAGGCTAAGGTTAGCCAATAGCGAACAACCAAGCTCTGATACGCCAAAACAGACCAATCGCTCGCTCACAACAGTATGTGAAGGTCAACGCACAGCGGTGACAACAATTAAAACCTACACAATCAGCATATAGAAAAACTCATGAGCTTAGCGCAGAGTTGCCCACATAAAATGATATGTAAACACAAATCAGCTCACCAGAGCACCCAAGACACCACCGAGGATATCCAACTTGTAAAATCTGGCAAAGGTGTTCTGAGAAGACCAGCCAGCTGCAAGACATAAATCCTGAATAGACATTCCCTGAGTCCAGGCCCATGAAGAGGAAATCACCCTTGTCAAATGGGCATTGATGTTAAGGGGGCATTCCTGCCAAAGGCAATCATAAGCCAAAACAATAGTGTCCAGAATCTAGTGAGCAAGCCTCTGTTTTGAGAACACCCGTCTCTTGTTGCATCTACCAAAGCACACAAACAGCTGGTCTGATTACCCTTGTTGCATCCACCAAATCACACAAACAGCTGGTGCGATTGTCAGAAAGCGGCCGAGCGATCCCGGAGCACTCTGACCGGACACACAGCACTCTGAGCATCCAAAGCCTGAGAAGTTGATGGCTCAGAGGATGCAGTGAAACAATCTGCGCGGCCTCGGCCTGATCGTCACATTACAGTTTCCCGGCCCAAAGCGAATACAATCTTCACTCAAAGAGAAGGCCTGTAAATCCCCAACTTGCTTTGCTGATGCAAATGCGAGGAGCAGAGACGTTTTGACAGAAACCTCAAAAGGCGGGCGCAACAACGCATCCAAAACCAAATGCCACGGTGAAAGATGACCGAAGATGGCCCATTCAGGGCATAACCTCCTGGCTCCTTTGAGGAACCTGATCACCAATGCATGTATACCAATAGACTGCCCGTCAACGTTGGGATAAAAAGGGGCAATAACGACGTCATACACTTTCAGAGTGGATGGAAGGCTCCCCTCATCCATCCTGTAGTGAAGAAAATGCAGGATTTCACAGAACAACTCTCTGGGTCGATACCGACTTCCTGAGACCATTTCAAAAAAACTCCCCACTTCAGGGCATGCAGGCGCCTGGTGGACAGGGCTTGCGCTTCCGCGATGGTGCTCAATGCTTGCGAACTTGTAACTGCCACGCATGGAGGCTCCACAGCCAGATTCCAGATTCATCCTTTTGCCTGAGACAGCAGGTCCTTCCTGAGCGGGATCTCCCATGGCCGTCCTGTCAGTAACTCCACTAAGTCTGCGAACCATGGCTGATTTGGCCAATTCGGAGCTACCAGAGTCACCGCCGCTCTCTCCTTCCTGATTTTGTACAACACCAGAATTTTCACCGGAGGAAAAGCATAGGGGTGGCGGTGGCAAACTTTCAGCCACCACGCAGTCAGCGCGCCCTCCTCCCGGGCAGAGCGAGACAGTGAGAAGAACGTCTGACGATGCGTGTTCTCGCTCATCGCGAAGAGATCGACCTCTGCTCTGCCGAAACGCTACTTGAAGGGACACGTCTGCTAGTGTTGAAGCAGTCTCATATGCAGCAGTCCTAGGTGACAAGCTTGCCAGGTCTGAAGAGACCGAGAGAAGTGCTCAGCGCCTCCGCTCGCTCGGGCAAGACACGCGCTCTCATTCTCACCAAATCCAAGTGCACTCCCAGAAAAGTGGTGGTCTGGCTTGGTAAGAGCACATTCTTCTGATTCTTCACCTTCAAACCCAGTGAAGGAGGGCTTCCACATGGCCGATCAGCCTTTCTTTCGATTGGGCAAGAAGCAGCCAGATAGTTCAGGACGCGCATCCTGATGGACCTGAGGTGAGAAACGCCGCTTCCACACATTTCGAAAACGTTCGGGGCGTGAGGGCTAGACCGAACAGAAGCACAGTGTAATGATCCACTGCATTCTCGAACGTAAACCTCAATCGCCTGTGATGCTTCTATCTGGATATGAAAGTATGTGTCCTTGACCTTTAGATCCACTAAAGCGAACCAATCCCCGGGGCGAATTTGCGCCAAGATCTGCTTTAAAGTGGTCATCCTGAAGGCACGCTTGTGGACCGCTCTGTTGACAGGTCTCAGATCCAGAATGGGGCGGAGACCTCCTCCTTTCTTTGGCACTATAAAGTAACGGCTGTAAAATCTGCTCTCCCGCTCGCTCGGGGGAACTGATTCTATCGCTTTCATCTCTATCAAGTTACACATTTCCTGTATCAGTATATGCGTGTTTTGGGACAAAGTTAATGACTGGAATATGCCGCGGAAGCGGGGTGGTCTGCGTTTGCACTGAAGTGTAACCATGCCAAACTATATTTATTAGCACGGGGAAATGCCCGGAATAGCTTCCCACGCTGTCTGAAAGTGCTTCAGTGAGTGTGGACTGATCTAAACCTGTGGTCATCGCCACTGTGTGTGGGCTGTGAATTAACACCTTGTGTCCGCGAGCTGCCCTTATAGTTAACAACCGTGACTTTGCGCTGCTCGAGAGCAGGGCGGGTAACATGGTGTGTGGTGGAAGACGGGTAAAAAAGCTCTGTTTGTTAAGAGGTAGTTTGCTTTTATGAACACACACTTGACACAACATTCACTAAACAATTGCATGTGACGCTCGTGGAACGCCAAGGGACTAAGTGCTGTAGAGAGCGGCGCTTGGGGGCAGGGCCAGCCTGGTGCTCTCTTCCCCTGTTGCCCAGGCGGTCAGGAAGACTATTTGGGTCTCGCTGGAGATGTGATGGCCTTCCTGCACGGGCTCCTCTAGGCCGCCCGTTTCTTCCCCGTACCCTGCCACTGGTTGTTGCACCATCTGTGAGGATCCGGCTCTTGGCAAGGTCCGAGGCCAGAGGTCTGCGGCTACGGTCTCCTCGACGGGGGTTATGCGGAGGTGTGGGGGCAAAAATTGCCTGGGTGGAAGTGAGGGTGCGCACCGATTGTGGGGCCACCCGCAACTTCAAGGCGTGTTAGTGCACGTCAGGAAAGAACGGGATTCCTCTCCTCGAAGCGGCCTGGTGGCTCGAAAGAAAGAAAGACGTGTCTAGCTTGCTCTTGGAGGGTTCATCCGGGCCTTCCAAGAGAGGTCCAGTTCCTCGACGGCCTTAGAAAGGATGCGGAAAAGCTCGTCCTGTAGGTCAGCCGGGGTGTCTTGGTCTGAATACACTAGCTCCGGGGCGGTCTGATCCGCGCCCCAGTTCTCGGAGGCAGACAGGGACATGGAGTCCTCCTCCTCACTCTCCCCGAAAGAGACAAACTCGGCAACCTCCCAGGAGAAAGGTGGCGTTGGGGAAACTCACCGGAGGCCGTACCTCGACTCCACAGTTGGGGGGGCCCACCAGCGGCTCGGAGGTGGCAGTGGGCCCGATCGCCACTGCTGCGCGAGCTTCATCCCACCTGGCCTTGAGAACTCGAAGGGACATGTCCGCGCAGTGCTCCCAAGACCCGCCATCCTTGAGGGCCGACTCGGCGTGGGCCAACCCCATGCATGCAATGCAGAACAGGTGCATGTGCACGATGGGACCCGAGCACAAGTTGCAAATAGTCGCCATAGGATGCAGAAGACAGTACAACGTATCTTTGGCGTACCCTTGCTGACGGCAAAAAAAATCCTTAATAGATGTAGATGTAGTATCAGCTTTATAGCACACGATTTGAGCATGAAGAGAGAGATTCTGATGAATATTGACGCTGCGTCTGCTTTTATACTGCAACATGTTCAGTGTTTGCATATTTGCATTAATTGGCCAGCTTTGCTGGTTAGCCTATAAGATTTCAGCAGAAGTGGAGGAGGAGTTTCCATATTCCATATACGACATTCATAATGTCGAAGTTCCGTAGCCTTGATAGGGAACACGCCACCTTTCCAAAGCCCTTCCAATATTTATCCTTGTTTTCGCATGGGTCTGGTTGCATCTCTTTTTTTTCTCAAGCCACTTACAGCGTGTGAATCTCTAGTTGTCACTGGTGATTGTAGTTAGAAACTTTGGGTCCGCCATCAAATGAATAAGTTTAATTATATAAAGTACTGTAAGAAAAGGCAATAAATCTCCACCTCCAACATCCTCACACACAATACAGCCTACTAGCTGAGACTCCTTCTTTATGTGTGTGTACATATGTGACGTAATGATGCAAAGACATCGAAACTCCCGCGGAAATCCACCAGTACCACTTGTACGGTGGCCGAGAGAGCTCACCACGCTGCAACCTGATGAAGACGAATGCAAATACAAAAAAACGTGTGCAACTATAAAAACGCGTGCAAATACAAAAAGACATCCGCAAATTAAGAAAAACATCTTCATCAGTTCCACAACACACGTGTGCTCCAAGTACTCACAACACCACCAAATACAGAAACGCGCTGCAAATAACACGGTCCACAACGGAAATGTTTCCGGGGAACCGAATAAGTGACGGACCCGACTGGAACCACAGGACGTGCTTACAGCAAAAAACCTTTATTGACAAGAAGTCAAAGCCTATATTTTTTTATAAATAAACTATACAAATAAACTATATTATTAAAGTAATATTGTATATATAAATAATATTATACTATTATATTTTTTATAGTTCGTCTATACTCCTTGCTTACTCAAAATTCTACTTTGTTTTATTTAATTTCTTTTGACTTTTCCCTCGCAAAACACCGAGATTCAAATTATTATGACATACAACTTGTGTACAATATACAACATGTGTTAACAATATGTTCAATGTCATCACAATACAAATGAGAAAAGAACAATGATCTGAAAACTAAACTAAATAAATAAAAAAAGATCTAGAAGAACATGAAGGCAAGATATCTATACATCAGTTACACTATACAAATAGTTTCAGTTTATGTTTAAATTTTCATGAGAAAAGTTTCCTAAATGTATAATAATGTATTGGCACTGACATACAGATATATAAAACGGATATTTTAACAGATTTTTATAAAGTAAAAATAAAAAATAAATAATTTATTTGCAACTGTTATGTTAATCATTATATTTCTGTCGTCAGAACAGCTATACAGCTGATTGACAAAGTGCTGTGTTGTCATAGGAACATCCAAGGTAAAAATAATTATATTACGTTGTCTGTTGTTGCTCCCTTCATCAAGTTCCAAGCGGCTACATAAATGACACACTAGGTCATGCTCACGCCAAATTCCCACTTGAAGAGCTTTGCCGTCTGCTCTTTGAAGGGAGTAGGGCATAGGGAAGCTCACGAGCAATAAGCAAGTCCCAGTTGGGTCCGTCACTTATTTGGTTCCCCGGAAACATTTCCGTGTGGACCGTGTTACTTGCAGCGCGTTTCTGTATTTGGTGGTGTTGTGAACGTTTGCAGCGCGTTTCTGTATTTGGTTGTGTTGTGAGTACTTGGAGCACACGTGTGTTGTGGAACTGATGAAGATGTTTTTCTTAATTTGCGGATGTTTTTTTGTATTTGCACGTGTTTTTATAGTTGCACACGTTTTTTGTATTTGCATTCGTCTTCATCAGCGCGGTGAGCTCTCTCGGCCACCGTACACTTGGGAGTTAAAAACATTATTACAAGCTTACCGTTTTGAATCAAGCTAGGGCAAGCAGGTCATTTTGAACACTGGTTATGTATTTGCTCACTATTTTATTTTGGATAATTTGTAATCCAAAAAAGTTGCAGCTCAACTGCGGCTTTGAATTATATAATATTAGAGGCACTGTAGAGACCTCAGAAAGGGGTTGCGCAGACCCACACATTGCGCAAATAAACCACAAACCTTTAGCATTTAAATAGTCTTTTCTCATATATATATGCATAGTCCAGTTGTGTACTGGCATTGATTTGCGAGCTGCATAGGCTACTTATGTCGCGAATGTATTATTATTTTAGGCTGGAGCCTTCAAAAGTTATTTTACGCACCTGATAAGAACGTATAATCTTATACAAGTTTCATATAGTAACTCAAGTCAGACGGCAACTTTTCATTGTTATTCTTTACTACAAGAACACTCTTTCGTGTCCAATCCCTCCCATGTCTCCTCCTTCCCTTTACGCACTGTCTCTCCCACTCTCAGCGCGCGCGCTCCACAGTTCTGCCTCAGCTCTCCAGTCATCATCACAAACAAAGACAGCCTTCAGGGTAGTTGGCGCTGTGCTTTCAGGGGGCTAAAAGTACTTGAGAATCAGCAGAACAATTGTGATTGCGATCAGCAGCTGTCAGAGTGGACTTTCAGAAAATACTGCAGTATAAATTGACCTTTTTGAAAATGCAAACCTCTCCGAATGGCTTTGTTCACTCGTGTGGATTTATGCCCTGCTGTCAGTGAGTCGTTTCTCCGTCTCAATTTATCCTTCCAAGGAAGCCCCCAGGAGACTACATGATGAAATGGACAGTCTTGCTGTTAGAATACTTCTTTGTGAAAGTTCTGGTGCTGCTGTACAGCGCGGACGGGGAAGCGCAGCAGCTCGAGGGCTTTATAATGCTCTCTGGATCCAATGGGTCCCGGGATGAGGAGAGCGTTTCTGAACCTCCACATACTGAAGACAAATGTCGGGGTTACTATGATGTCATGGGACAGTGGGATCCGCCGTTCGTTTGTCAAACAGGCGATTATTTATTTTGTTGCGGCACTTGTGGCTTCCGATTTTGCTGCGCTTTTAAACACTCTCGATTGGATCAGAGCACATGTAAAAATTACGATACACCAGTATGGTTAACAGGACAGACACCGTATAAGAAAACCATCGACCCTAGACACGATCCAACCAAGGATAAAACAAACTTGATTGTATATATAATATGTGGAATAGTGGCAATCATGGCACTTGTCGGGATATTTACCAAACTTGGACTAGAAAAGGCTCACAGACCTCACAGAGAGAGCATGTCTCGGTAGGTAACTGATAGTTATGTTGGCTTGACTAAGTAAATTATTAGTAGTAGTTTATGATAAAAACGATGTGATTTGTGTCGGTCTGCACTGCTTTTAATGTTTTCCCTGTAAACAGAGCTAGACCGATGTCTTTGACTTTCTTTTTCAGAGTGTGCGATACATTTTTGTGTAGTTAAGAGATGTTCGCTTTTAAAATTGCGCATCTCTCTGTTTTTGAACAAACGATCCATTGTGAGTGACTGCTAGGGGCCATTCACACGTGGTGCTTTCAAAAACAACTAGAATGGAGCATATCGCAGATGACCATTTTTTGGACATAATAATTTATATTTATTTTATGTACTTAATTTAGATGGGATAGTTTACAAAAAAGAAAAAATCGCTCAAGATCTTGGTCTTATGCATGATCAAAAATTAAATTTAAAAACTAATTAAAAAATTTAACGCACTCTGTATGAATGGCGTCGTAGGCTGCAAATTGTATACTCCATCCAAGAATGGGTAAAAAAAAAAAAAAGAATTTCCTCACTAACTCAATATTTTGCAGCTTTTGAGCCAAAAATGTTGGTTGCCATAGCTCTGCATTAACTGTTGTGTCTATCCTTCCCATGCATATTCATGCCTAATTAGAGCAAAAACAATCCTGTGAATGTTCATTATGGTTTCTAAATTCATGTATTTGTGTTATGCAAGCTCTCTTTTAAAAGGCTTTCTTGAATCACAGATCTCAAGAAATTCACAAGAAAGCATGGTTAGCTTGCACATGCAAACCAAGAGAACTGAACACACCGTTTTAGATATTATATCCCATTACATAACGTTTGGTTGTCAGTTTTTACCATTAAGTTACTCCGCTCGGATGGTGGAGGTGTAAATCTCTTGTTCCTACTGATATAGTGGGTCAAAACCTCTGATGAGAGCTGCACAGCCCACAGTGTGCAGGTTGCTGAAAGAGCGGCTCACAGAAAAACATGCACTCTTTGAATCAGCACTCTGGACAGCGGCAGCAATAGCACTGAATGAATAGATGTCAGTCTACCGACATTATATCACTGTATGCCGTTCAGCTGTGCTCTGATATCTAAATACAGCATGATTACACAATGCAAGGCAATTCAATGCATACTAAGCTAACAAATTGCTTGTCCTTCAACAGAGCTGTTGCGAGCGTCATGCAAGGCGCCCGTCAGGGTCAGCATGAGGAGGCCATCGGAATGCACACACAGCATTATGACACTGTGCAAGCGAGAGCAAACAACATGCGTAAGTTGATTGTAGCCTACTTCCTCTCTTTCCCCACGAGCTCAGCATAAACTATGCACTGCATTTACGCTCCTGAAACTGTCTAAAAGCATCGTTTCTCCTGGCTCGAGTGCTCAATACACCTCTACGCAATATAATGCTCTTGCGTACTGAAATGCATATATATAACGCATATTAAGTATTCAAAGTTTTGCTTGTGGTGCAAAACTTTGTTGGTTCTGCACCACTTTTGATTTTCTTATTCTATACATAGCATATGTGTACTTTATAAGAGAAAAGGAGATGCTTAGAGCACAATGCTGTTGTGAAATAAGCCTATTTACTGTCACTACCGTGGGCTGTTGTGTGCATGGCATTTTTTTAACGCCGGGATCGAATGAATGGCTTCATCATAAATGTTTAAACTCTCATTTGTTCTCTTTCTGGAGTGATTACATCACCCACTCTGTGGTTATCTACTCACTAAATATATCTGTGTTTAAACAATACAAAAAACTGTGAGAGTATTGAAGCCCCCTTAAGAGGGATCCATTTTGGTTGACACTATGGAAGTGAGTCAGTAGCTGGAAATCGAATTGTAAAGATTATGTCAATCTTTCTTCACTGCCATGCTTATTTTTATGCTTTGATATCTGCATATGAAAGTTTTTCCTTTTTTCTTTTTTTTTTTTTTTTACAAAAACAAAGACTAAGAACAATAATATATAGACCATATTAGGAAAAAATGGTTCTGAGAGCACTCGATTTGTGGTATTTTATTTATTTTTTATTTTATTTTTTTTTTAGCAGTAGCACAACCTTTTTTATCGGTGCATAATCATCCTTTGTATGTGATATACAGAACTTCAATGGTGCTGTGAAAGAGCCTTTTCATATGAGTCTGGAGAGGTTTTTTCTTGCTTTATTTTTTATTTATCCACCTGCTCTTCACCTGCAACTTATAGACTCTTAAATGTTTTTAAATAAGAAAAGACACACTGAAAAAAAAAAATAGAAACACAATGGAAAGCATTTTTAGCAGTATGTTTCTTCACTGTAAAAAAATATTGTTGGTTTAACTTTAAAATTTAAGTTAACTAATACAATGAAGGAGATTGATTTAATCATCGGAAACTCAAAATATTACGTTATCTCAACTATATAAATGATTTAAGTTGATTTGACAAAAGAAAAAATGTTGTGATTACAAATCATGAAAATATTTTTTACAGTGTTGTTCACATATGAAAAATCCCACAAAAAAAATATACAAGCTTTACTCGCAGATTTTACCTTTAAATCAATGTTAGTTCTGTCACCAATAGACAAAAGTCATTCAAAGTGTCATTTATAATCACCTCTTATTCACAGATCATGATCATTATTCTTGCATTACTGACTTTTAATCCATAAACCGGTGTAATTATCTGGACTGCTTTTAACCTCTGACCGAGCGAATTAATACACCGTCCCCCGGGTTACTCCATATGAGATTCGATTTGAACCGAAATCAGGAGAACAGACACTGCATACGCAAGTAATTCCAGCGATCTAAATATGAGAGGTTTCTGAATTCTCCGGTTGACCCGGTTGAGATGTGTTTTAAAGCTTAAAGATACGTTAAAGATGTGGTTGGTTGAATTAATTATCAAAGAGTGTAGATAAAAATAAAGGCTAAGACTCCTGGTAAAAGTTTTTGATGCTGATTGCCAACAACCCCTTAACAGATTTTGCAACAAATCTTACACAAAAGAAGTTCTCTAAAATGGCAGGTAGGTGGTGGTGGTGGTGGTGAAGTGCTTAAGACACATGCCTTTGGTGTGAGAGACTCGGGTTCGAATCCATTGTGAGACACCAATGAGCAAGACACTTAGCCCCTAGTTGCTCCAGAGGCGTGCGACCTCTGACATATATAGCAATTGTAAGTCACTTTGGATAAAAGCATCAGCTAAATGTAAATGTAGATATGAGACTTTTTCTTTCAACATGAGTCAACAGAAAGGCTGCTGAAATTTTAAATATGTAAAGCTAGTTAGATTAAAGACTGGATTCCCCCTCATAACTCTAGATGTATTATTGAAAACGTTTAAAGATTTAAAGGGTTAGTTCACCCAATAATGAAAATAATGTCGTTGATGACTCACCCTCATGTCGTACATTGAAAATATATGTACGGTATACTGTCCTTGTCCAGAAAGGAAATAAAGACATCATCAAAGTAGTCAATGTGACATCAGTGGGTTAGTTAGAATGTTTTGATGCATCGAAAATACATTTTGGTCCAAATATAACAAAAATTACCGACTTTATTCAGCATTGTATTGTCTTCCGGTTCTGTTGTCGATCCGCGTTCAGTGGTGACGTGTGTCTAGTGTGTCCATGTATTCGGGTTCATATAAATATGGGTTCAATCATTTAAATGCAAGTCTTCCTCTGTGTGGAAATCCTTAGAAATGTTTGCGAAGATTGTTTTGTTTATGGCGTGTCTCCCTCAGACTGTGAACGAAACTCAGCCGCACCAAATACACATCAGCAGCGTACCTGAACGCGGATCCACAACAGAACCGGAAGACAATACAATGCTGAATAAAGTCGTAGTTTTTGTTATTTTTGGACCAAAATGTATTTTCGATGCTTCAAAACATTCGAACTAAACCACTGATGTCACATGGACTACTTTGATGATGTCTTTATTTCCTTTATGGACGAGGACAGTATACCGTACATACATTTTCAATGGAGGGACAGAAAGCTCTCGGGCTAAATCTAAATTATGTTAAAGGAGTAGTTCACTTTTAAAAAAACTTTTGCTGATAATTTACTCGCCCCCATGTCATCCAAGATATCCATGTCATTCTTTACTTCAGTCAAACAAAATTAAGGTTTTTGATGAAAACATTCCAGGATTTTTCTCCATATAATGGACTCCAATAGGTCCAAAAGACAGTTTCAGTACAAACTGCAAACTGTTCTAAGGGCTTTAAACGATTCCAGACGATGAATAAGGGTCTTTTCAAGCAAACAAATCTTTTCCTGAGTCAACTCGTTCATTTCGTTCGTTGAATGAACAAAATGACATGAAAAAAGATTAGTTCATTTTGATAAACGAGTTCGAACAGAAGAGTCATGAACACGCATCACAGAACAGAGCAAGGCGAACATTTGAGCTTATGAAACGGAAACTTTTTTTTAACGAGCGACGATCGTTTCGCTTGATAAGACCCTTATTCATCGTCTGGAATCATTTAAAGCCCTTTGAACAGTTTGCACTGAAACTGTCTTTTGGACCTTGAACCGTTTGGTTCCCATTGGAGTCCATTGGAGAATGTTTTCATCAAAAACCTTAATTTCTTTTCAACTGAAGAAAGAATGACATGGATATCTTGGTTGACATGGGGGTGAGTAAATTATCAGCAAAAGTTTTTTTTTTAAAGTGAACTACTCCTTTAAACTGTTTTTCTGAAGATGAACGGAGGTCTTGCGGGCTTGGAACAACATGAGGGAGAGTCATTAATGACATAATTTAAATTTCTGGGTGAACAAACCCTTTCAGGGCATTAAAGATGAAAATGCATTATATGTTCCTAATTTATTTTCTTGTGGTAAACAGATTTGCTCATGCACATACTGACATATGGACTGAAATGATTTTTTTTCCACATAAACCGATCCAGTATTCTTCATATTCCTCCTCTGAGAAGCTCACAATCCAGATGCTCACCCACCATGTGCTGAATGATCCTATCAAAGAGGTGTAGCTACCTCACAGAAAGTGCAAAATTACTAGACCTTTTTCCCGAAATGACCGAGTATTCTGGTGGATATGGTACCGTGCTCCATTACCACCACAGCTTGGCATTAAGAGAGTACCCGTGGTTTTAGGAAGAAGTCTTGAAGAATGCTTTATTTTTTGGTCATTGCATGAAATAATCAAGACTTAAGCCCAGTGTGATTTCAATAGTACAGTACATGCTGTTAAATTCTGCATGTCAGTGACCTGAATTGAGGAACAAAAGCATTTCCTCCCACCGTGTATTGAGCAACTGAACCTTGCAGATGAAGTGGAACTTTTTCCAGAGCCACAGCTCAAACTAATTACCTTAATGGGGTTTCCCAAAAGAAACAGCGGAAATCTATTACGCTGTATTTATTTCGAGCTATGTGCCAATGCAAACACCTGAACAAAGATCTGCTTACAATGATGCAGGTGCAGATTACATCTTTTAGTGTAGGCCTATAGTAGGCTATGTTATGTATCCTGATTGAATTTATGATTAGTTAAATCTGTTTTGCACATGCATCGCCACAGAGTTAACCTTTTCATCTCGTTCACTTTACGTCTCCAATCCAATTTGCTTTCAGTGAAATCTAACATTAGTGTAACTGACAGAATTACTAAAAAATGTTTAGCTACCTAAAAGTTTAAGATTTTTTTGTGTCACGCATGCATGTCTTTTTCCCTCATATTAAACATAAAATGCATGTGGACATATTTCTCCAGTGTCTGGACTCCTTTATTAATGGAGTATATAATAAGACGTTTCAATATATTGGTATTAAATGCATTTTACTGCAAAAGTTTTTACTGCAAATGTCGAAATGCATGCTCTTTGGTCCATCAGTGCTTGAAAACATTTGGAATGGGTCAGACATAATTCTGACCACTTATTAAGTTTTAAGTTTTAAGTGAATTTCGTTTTGTAGAAATTGTACCTTCATTTTAATCAATGTTTTCATCAACACATTGACTGGATTAATTAACAAGAAGCAAATATAGTAGATAATATAATTAGGAAACGGAGGCGCCGGCGCGTGAACTGGAGCGCGTCTCATAAATCAACCCGATCACACTAAATGTGTCTCTACAGAGGGCCAAAGTTGACTTGAAAGTTAGCGGCGCATGGGTTCCCTCGATCGAAAAGCAATGCATTTTCGCCATAGACTTTTGGAAAATCGCAAAAAATAAGATCGGCGTTCAACAAAAAGTTGTGACCCTTACACGTTTTGTCTATCAGGATAATTTAGAAAAGTTAATACAAGATTTATAGATTTTGAAACCTATATAAAGTTT